AATCCCTTATGATTATCCCATGGAAGTGACAAATAGATTCAAGAGATTAGATCTGATAGACAGAGTGCCTGAAGAGCTATAGACAGAGGTTCATAATACTGTACAAGAGGTGGTGACCAAAACTATCCCCAAGAAAAAGAAATGCAAGAAGGCAAAATGGTTGTCTGAGGAGGCCTTATAAATAGCTGAGAAAAGAGGAGAAGTAAAAGCCAAAGGAGAAAGCGAAACATATACCCAAGTGAATGCAGAGTTCCAAAGAATAGCAAGGTGAGATAAGAAAGCCTCATTCAGTGAATAATGCAAAAAAATAGAGGAAAACAATAGAATAGGAAATTAAGAGACACCAAGGGAACATTTCATGCAAAGGTAGGCCTGTTGCTCTACTGATAATGCCAACTGATGAAAAAGCTCTCTTCAAGGTAAAGGACCATTTTTATTATAAGAGAAAATGCTACACTTAGAAAATCACTAGTTTGAAGTCTTGATTTCAGCAAGTTAAAACTCAAGTTTTACCTATCTCCTGGTGCTATTTAGAATGAAAAAATGAAACAGCGCGCCAAAAAATGTTTCATAAACTGCAAAATTTTATTTGTTGTTACATAGATGAGCTAGAACCATTTATCATTAAAAAGATTAGTTGTAATGTGATTACAACTGTAATATGGATTATTATCTAAAAGATTTATCAGTTTAATAATTTACTTTATAAAATCTAAGCATCTAGCCCATTGTTTCTTGAAGTATGATTTCTTAAAGTATGGTTCACTGATACCAGTGAATGCTGGTATTACCAGCATCAGTTGAAAATTTGTTAGAAATGCAAATTCTTGGAGTCTGCCCCAGACCTACCAAATCAGAAAATGGAGGCAGAATCTAGCAATCTTGTTTGAACAAGCCTTCCAGGTGATTCTGATGCATGCTACAACTTGAAAACCATACATCTACCCAAACATCAGTAAAAAGAGAGCATATACAACTAAAATCAAAAGATAAACATATATTATTTATTGTGTGGGCTTAGTAACTCAGTCGTATCTGACTCTTCGTGACCCCATGGACTGCAGCCCACCAGGCTCCTCTGTCTATGGGGATTCTCCAGGCAAGAATACTGGAGTGGGTTGCCATGCCCTCTTCTGGGGGATCTTCCTAACCCAGGAATCAAACCCAGGTCTCTTGCATTACAGGCGGATTCTTTACAGCCTGAGCAAATATTTAAATAAGAAATGTTATTTATTATTTAAATGTTTAAATGTCATAGCAAAGGCATATCATCATAAATTGCTACTTAAAAAACTCCTAAAGTTTTGTATTTTAAAATAGTACAGTTCTCACTACCTGGCCAAGCTTTATCAATTAACACATTAATCATGAATACAGTAGTAGTATATAAGTTTAGAAGTCAGATTAATTACAGAGTATACAATACTTTGGATAAGGAATTCCCACAATAGTGGGAATAACAATGGTTTAGAAAATAGTCAAGTTTTAATTCTCTCAGAGAGGAAGAGTCACAACTGTATCTTAAAAATCACATTTATCCTGAAGACAACACCCCACAGCATCTCAATGTTTTTATTCAGGCTAAGGAAGTGTGTCATCACTGACTCAGAGAAAAGACCATTTCTTGGACTGAATCACCAGTAATGTTTCCTGCAGTCTTAGATTTGTCATTATGTCTGCTAAGCAACAGAAAAACAGTCTCAAAACTTCTTATCTTGAAAGATTTCATATGAGAAAATACCAACATTGCTCCCAAACTCGAAGTCCAAAGGTCTTGCTATTAATTAGACATTTGCAGGACAGCACAGGTGAGAACACTGACGAGGCATGAGCTGACGAGCAATAGAAAGTTCTTTGAGATCTTTCCTGTTCCTTTGTTTTACATTTTAAAAAGTTTTGGCAGTTTCAAGATACCTAGCACCACCTTGGAAAGATGAGCATAGAGTATTCCAATTAAAAACTCATGTTTAGTATTCATCTTTAGTTTCTGAGTGAAACTGAGAAGATATGACTTTCCCTGAAAGACTCCTTAACTACAGATGAAGTTCCATTTACCATCACTGAGCATATGACTCTGGCTCTTTGATCAAGATTCCTGGAGCCCTAAAGGATTTTCCTTCACTCAATCCTAAGCCTCCAATATTTAAAGAACCTAGGGCTAAAAGTGGGGTTATGTATAGGAAGAATAACTCTAATAATTGATATCTATACTCTATATTCTAGGAAATATTTTCAACCTATTCAAACAAAAGACTATAATCAAAATTATACTGTCTTTCTCTAGAAATTGCTTTGATCCACCTTACAGGAAAAACAGCAATTCTAAACTCTAATTTCCCCCACTGGAAAGAATAACACAAATATAAAATTCTAAAAAGTAATTCACTCCTTTTGCTCATTCACTTACTATAAACATTTCCTGAGTTCCTAGTATGCTCCAGAAATTGTTTTAGATGCAAAATGAATCTAGTGAGATGCATAGACTTCAGTGATAAGGATGTGAATTCTGTGTGTCTAGAGCACCAGGTTTCAGATTCTCTGTGAACTAGGACCAGTGGTACTGAAATCTGAGTGAGTATCAGAATCACTTGGAGAACTTGTTAAAACAGAGTTTGAGGCCCCATCCAGAGAGATGTTATCGGGTAGGTCTGAGATGGGTCCCAAATTAGCATTTCTAATAAATTCTCAGGTAACACTGATGCTGCTGGTCTGGTGACCACACTTTGCAAACTACTTAGCAAGAAATAACAGCTCATCACACTATGCCTGCCAATTTTCAAACACTGTACATCTCTCTTCCAAAGAAGGCAATGGCCTTTTAAAGGCTTGTCACTCATAACTGAGCAGAATTCTAGTTTCCAGAACCACCTCAAATATCTAGGATGGTAGCCCCACAAGAGAAGAAAGAAGTACAAACAACAAAGAGAAAATTCTCTTTGCAATGGTTTTGCTTCCTCCTTGTTTTTCTTTTGTTTTATCTCCTAGCACAAGAAGTCTATCTTCTATTATGATTTCTCAAAACTAGGGTCATGGAAAAGAAGAACACACATTCAGATTTTTCATACTTCTTTACTTTAATAAAATCATAGTTTCTCTCCTAAATTCAGTCCCCTTTTTTGTTGGACTATCTCCTTTCTGAACAAAAGAATCAGAGTTAGAAGGAACATTGAGAATTTACTTAATCCCTCCTTGGCCTCAGACAAGACTATATCTAAACCATCCCCAAATATAGCAATTGTCAGTACAAAGATGAATAGGCACTAAGAATTTCCCATTCAACATTCTGTCACATACTTGAAGAAACTAATATACTTTTCCTCAGCCTTCTCTTCTCTGAGATAATCAACCTCGACATTTAAATTTCATTAGATTTCCTAAACTTAAATTCTTTTGACTCTTCTTTAATAAGCTTATCCCACCTTACCTCAGGGCCTGAATTATGTATTTACTGTTATCATGAAGATTTCTTTTTGGTATGTGAAAAGGGGAAAGTTAATTTATGGATTAAATTAAAAGGAATTTAATTGAAACAAAGAAAGATATATGTATAAATGCCACTATAATATAATGGCATTCACTTGAATGATTCATTTCAAATATTCTTTATTTTATTAAAAGAAGTAGTAATGCCCTATGGTTTTAAAATTTTATAAATCACCAGCCATTTCACACATAAAACGGATGGGAATTAGAGATCTTTATAAATATGCCACAGATTACACATAACCATGTTTCATGACACTTCACACAGAAGGAAAACATTATTATTATTCATTTGTTTTTTTTTCTATGGTGCTTACTACAGTAGTTGGAGTTAATCCATGATTTAATTCTATATGAGTTTAAAATTACTGAATCTATTATTGTGATTATTCACTTCTGTGAAAAATAATTTCTCTGATTCAAGCTTTGAGAATCAGAAGTATTTAGAGAATCAGTGAGTACAAGACTAGTAGGATAAAGTCTATGTAAACCATGTGTTTCTCAGTAGTTTAGAAAGGAAAAATAGGTAATTGGAATATGGGGTAAAATGGGATGATTCACTTTAGTTCCATCTCTCCCATTCTATATATCACTATTCAAAATTCCACCTTTGCTTTTGGAATGGTGAGGTGCTCTAGTCCAGCACAGACCTGAGGGATACGTTTGTTTTCTTGCCTATTAGGATCAAGGTGTACGGTGGAGGCGATGCATTTAGTCTCCAGAGAGAAGGAAGATGCTGCTTGCACAGCACTTCTACTCACCAGTCCATGCAGCAGCAAGGGTGTTGGCTTTGAAGGAAGCCAACTGTCCTGCTCTCCCAGCCAGAGGTAAAGAATTGCATTGGTGGCCACTAGAGGGAGGAGGATTAGGAATAGAGTAAATTGTGGGGAAAAGGCACCCATGAAAAACGCACATGGGACAACCAACACATCACCAACCACCGCCTAGCAGCTACCTCTCTGAGGGACTACCATGGGGTCTGCAAACACCATTAAACCAGAGACCCAGACCAGTAATTATTGTAGTATCCCAGAATATAGCCCCTTAACTTGGATGGCTGCAGAAGGGAGTTTGAATAGGATTGTGGGAAACACACAAGCACACAAACACAAACATACAAGCACACAGACATACATTCTCATCCCCCATTACAAGATGTTGCATCTGTGCCGTCTGATTCTTGCTCATTTTCTTATTTAAAACTCTTGATGTTCTTTACCAAGAAAGTGTTCACGGAAAGCAAACAGCCCACCTTCAAGATAGTCTTGGGAGAAGCACCAGCAGAGACACTCATTGTGCCAAGATGTATTTTACCAACAAATCTGTACAAATTACATGAGGTTAAAAACAAACGGAATATAATGTAATTAAAGCAAAGTTTCTTTTGCTAAATTACAGCTTGAAGCAAACCTGCAAGAAATGTTTCCAATTAGCTTCTTTAGCAAACACAAAGCATAGCTCAGAATGTTTTGCTTTCCATCCTGCCCTCTGGGTGGGCTGCCTAGTGGGTGTCTTACCTCCAGCGCAAGTAGCCGAGCATTCTGACCAAGGCTGATGATTCCATGTAAAGCCAACTTCATTGTCTCCACTGCCCGTCCGGGTGATGGGAACATTGAATTTATACCTAATTCCCAAATTCTGTTCCTGAAGCAGAACCTGCCATTGAAAACAACTGGTGAAGATAATTAAAATACAATGAGCCTGTATTCAGATATTTATTATTTCTTTTGAAGAAGAAAATGTCATAATCTAAGTCTTAAGGGAAATTTAAGACAACTTTTAGAATACATGTACTTATATTGAATATTCTCCTTCCATTTTCATGGGTAATTTGAAGCCATTTCTCTCATTTGCCTTGTTTGGTTATACAACTATTATTCAGGCAAGTATTGAAAAGATCAGTCACATGGAAAGAGCAGCACAGTCTTAACTTTACACAGATTTTTTTCACTCTTGGGCATTTTACCATTATTTAATTTCATCACTTTAATTTCAGATAATAAATCCTGCCCCATCCTACTTCAAAGGACAGATTACAAAGAGGAGAAATGAAGTGGCACAGGCACATGTACCATGACAATGAGATTTTCCGAGGTGGGACCTAAAGCTTCTAAGGATTCTGGTTCATCAGTTGGTCTCTTATAATGAAAAGCTGTCCCAGCAACATCAAATTTCCTCGGCCAGTCAATAGTCCAGGCACCATTAATATAGTAATCATCCCCTTCAGATTTTAAAGCTAAAAAAAAAAACAAAAAAACACCACTTTAGCTAAAATGTGAAACTTCATTCACTACAATGTAACTGATTAATGACTGCACTGAAGTGTACAATGAATATTCATTTTCATTTAGATATGGGATTCTTGACCATTTTCTTAAGTACAATTTAAAATATTAATTTTGCATGTGAATGTCAAGAAGATATTGAGTATCCATAATGCTATTTATAGAAAAGAATGAAAGGCTTATCTGAAAGAATAAAAATATGGAACAAGCAAGGGAAATTATGACTAAAGGATGGGAGTAGGGGTGAGGAGCAGACTTTCCTGTCCAAATGTTAAAACAGTAATTATACAAAGACAGGGGTGGGGCAACCTGTGGTCTGGTAGACAGCTGGACAGAAAAATAGAACAAAATGGACAGCTAAGAAACAAACACAAGTACAATAGGGAGTTAATATATAACAAAGGAAGCATCCTAAATTAGTAGAGGAACGATAACAAGAAATGGAACTAAGGCAAAAGGCTAGATTTTAGGCAAAAAAAAAAAAAAGGCTGAATTTACCTCATTCTTTATATAAGAATAGCTATCACAACTCCATTCTAGGTATATATCCAAAAGAAATGAAAATTAGTACTCAAATATTTGTATACACAAGCTTATAGTAGTAGTTCCCAGTAGCCAAAGGTGGAAACAACCCAATTGATCATCAGTGAATGACTGGATAAACAAATTGGGGCATATACCAGACAATGGAATAAAATTCGACCATAGAAAAGAATGAAGTACTATACATGACTCAATGAGGATGAAACTAAAAAAAAAAATTACACTAAGTGGAAGAAGCTAGACAGAAAAGATCACCTATTTTACTCTTCTATTTACAAGAAATATCTAGAATAGGTATATCCATAGGGAAAAGGAGCAAACTGGTCGCTCCCAGAGGCTAGGGGATGGGAAGTAACTGCTTAATGGACATGGGGTTGTTTCTGGAATGATGAAAATATTTTGGAATGTATTAAATGCCACTATGTTGTTCATTTTAAAATGTTTGAATTCTATATTATTTGAATATTAGTTCAATAAAAACAAAGTTTAAAGAAAAGGAGAGAAAAGAATAAATGCCAGATGTGTAATTATTTAAATGTAAATATAGTTAAGTCATAAAATGTTAGGAGAAAATGTGGGAATATTTAAAAAAAAAATAATGTTGGGGAATTGAAAGGCTTTTGTAAGCATGATCAAAACCTCAGAAAGTATAAAGAAAAAGATTAACATCATTTTTTAAACCTCCTTAGGAAAAAATATATAAAAAAGTTTAAAAATATGTAATACAAAAATGTTTATCAGCACTACTACATAAAAACTTCTATAAATAAATGAATGATAATTTTGATAATAATTATCATGCTTTGACAGTGACAAACATGTCAGCTTAATCTTTCTGTTAGTTTGATAACTTATTCAAAAACTTTCTGAGGCCAGGGAAGCAACCTAGATGCTCCTCAGCAGACGAATGGATAAGAAAGTTATGGTACATATACACAATGGAATATTACTCAGCTATTAAAAAGAATACATTTGAATCAGTTCTAATGAGATGGATGAAACTGGAGCCCATTATACAGACTGAAGTAAGCCAGAAAGATAAACACCAATACAGTATACCTAATGCATATATATGGAATTTAAAAAAAGATGGTAATGATAACCCTATATGCAGGACAGAAAAAGAGACACAGGTGTATAGAACAAACTTCTGGATTCTGTGGGAGAAGGCAAGGGTGGGATGATCTGAGAGAATAGCATTGAAACATGTATATTACCAAGTGTGAAACAGAGCACCAGCCCAGGTTGGATGCATGAGACAAGTGCTCGGGGCTGGTGCACTGGGATGACCCAGAGGGATGGGATGGGGAGGGAGGCAGGAGGGGGGATCAGGACGGGGGACACATGTAAATCAATGGCTGATTCATGTCAATGTATGGAAAAAACCACTACAATATTGTAATTAGCCTTAAACTAATAAAAATAAATGAAAAAACAACAACAACAATAACAAAACTTCCTGAGACCAGATGATCATGCAGCCCCAAAGGACTAAAAGGGTCATGGTGCAGAGTCTCTGACTCTGGAAATCTACCACTTATCCTTAGGAGTATAGATCATTTTCATTCTCTAATCCCTAACTGCCTGGAAAATATATCTGTACCTTCTTGACTTCAAATATGTTGTAAATTCATTTGACTGTCAAAAAAAGTCTAAACTTTGGAGACAGGAACATGCTAGCTAAAAATTAGTCTTAAATTTGTCTTATATTTGAAATTTTTTATTTTCAACTCTCACAGTGATTCTGTCTCATTTGAAACACCAAAATTACCTAGGCAATATAAGGACAAAATGAAGCAGGGCAAAGGCTAACAGAGTTTTGTCAAGAGAATACACTGGTCATAGCAAACACCCTCTTCCAAAAACACAAGAGACGACTCTACACATGGACATTACCAGATGGTCAATGTTGAAATCAGATTGATTATATTCTTTGCAGCCGAAGATGGAGAAGCTCTATACAGTCAGCAAAAACAAGACTGGGAGCTGATTGTGGCTCAGATAGTGAACTCCTTATTGCAAAATTCAGACTTAAATTGAAGAAAATAGGGAAAACCACTAGGTCATTCAGGTATGACCTAAATCAAATCCCTTATGATTATATAGTGGAAGCGACAAATAGATTCAAGGGAATAGATCTGATAGATAGAGTGCCTGAAGAACTATGGACGGAGGTTTGTAACAATGTACAAGAGGCAGTGACCAAAACTGTCCCCCAAAAAAAGAAATGCAAGAAGGAAAAATGGCTGTCTGAGGAGGCCTTACAAATAGCTGAGAAGAGAAGAGAAGGAAAAGGCAAAAGAGAAAGGGAAACATATACCCAACTGAACTCAGAGTTCCAAAGAAGAGCAAGGAGAGATAAAGTTTTCTTAAGTGAATAATGCAAAGAAATAGAGGAAAACAATAAAATGAGAAAGGCTAGAGACCTCTTCAAGAAAAGTAAGAGATACCAAGGGAACATTTCATGCAAAGATGGACACAATAAAGGACATAAATTGTGTGGACTTAACTAAGCTGAATCAAAATAAACTGGAAAATTCTGAAAGAGATGGGACTATCAGACCATCTGACCTGCCTCTTGAGAAATCTGTATGCAGGTCAGGAAGCAACAGTTAGAATGGAACGTCGAACAACAGACTGGTTCCAAATAGGGAAAGGAGTATGTCAAGGCTGTATACTGTCACTCTGCTTATTTAACTTAAATGCAGAGTAAATCATGAGAAACGCTGGGCTGGATGAGGCACAAGCTGGAATCAAGACTGCCAGGAGAAATATCAATAACCTCAGATATGCAGATGACACCACCCTTAAGGCAGAAAGAGAAGATCTAAAGAGCCTCTTGATGAATGTGAAAGAGGAGAGGGAAAGTTGGCTTAAAACTCAACATTCAAAAAACTAAGATCATGCCATCTGGTCCCATCACTTTATGGTAAATAGATGGGAAAACAGTGGAAACAGTGACAGACATTATTTTTGGGGGGGCTTCAAAATCACTGCAGATAGTGACTGCAGCCATGAAATTAAAAGACGCTGACTCCTTGGAAGAAAAGTTATGACCAACATAGACGGCTTTATTTTGCCAACAAAGGTCTGTCTAGTCAAAGCTATGGTTTTTCCAGTAGTCATGTATGGGTGTGAGAGTTGGACTATAAAGAAAGCTAAGCACTGAAGAATTGATGCTTTTGAACTGTGGTTTTGGAAAAGACTCTTGAGAGTCCCTTGGACTGCAAAGAGATCCAACCAGTCCATCCTAAAGGAAATCAGTCCTGAATATTCATCGGAAGGACTAATGTTGAAGCTGAAACTCTTATACTTTGGCAAAGTATACCTGATGCAAAGAACTGACTCATTTGAAAAGACCCTGATCTGGGAAAGATTGAAGACAGGAGGAGAAGGGGACAACAGAGGATGAGATGGTTGGATGGCATCACTGACTCAATGGACATGAGCTTGAGAAAACTCCAGGAGTTGGTAATGGACAGGGAAGCCTGGCGTGCTGCAGTCCATGGGGTTGCAAAGAGTTGGATACGACTGAGCAGCTGAACTGAACTGAACAAAGCTGAAGAGATTAAGAAGAGGTAGCAAGAATACATAGAACAATTATACAAAGAAGGTCTTAATGACCCAGATAACCACCATGGTGTAATCACTTGCCTAGAGACAGACCTCCTGTGATTGTGAAGTCAAGTGAGCCTTAGGAAGCATCACTATGAACAAAGCTAGAGGAGGTGATGGCATTTCATCAGAGCTAATTCAAATCCTAAAATATGATGCTGTTAAAGTACCACGCTCAATATGGCAGCAAAATTTGGAAAACTCAGCAGTGGCCACAAGACTGGAAAAGGTCAGTTTTCATTGCAATCCCAAAGAAGGGCAATGCCAAAGAAAGCTCAAACCACCATACAACTGTGCTCATTTCACATGCTGGCAAGATAATGCTCAAAATCCTTCAAACTAGGTTTCAAAGAATATGATCTGAGAACTTGCAGATGTACAAGTTGGATTTAGAAAAGGCAGAGGACCAGAGATCAAATTGCCAACATCTGTTGGATCAACAGAATTCCATATAAATATCTACTTCTACTTCACTGACTTCGCTAAAGCCTTTGACTATGTGGATCACAACAAACTGTGGAAAATTCTTCAAGAGATGGGAATACCAGACCACCTGACCAGGCTCCTAAGAAACCTGTATGCAGGTCAAGAAGCAACAGTTAGAAGCAGACATGAAACAACAGGTTGGTTCCAAATCGGGGAAGGAGTTCATCAAGGCTGTATACTGTCATCCTGCTTATTTAACTTATATGCAGAGTACATCATATGAAATGCCGAGGTGGATGAAGTACAGCTGGAATCAAGATTGCTGGGAGAAATATTAATAACCTCAGATATGCAAATGACACCACCT